TTTCTATTTTACTAGAATTCTAACTATATTAAATTACCTAATTAAATAATAAAGTAATTTAAATAATAAAATAGAAAAATATCTTATTCAACACTAAATTTGAGTGTTCCAATAGATAATGCCATAATCAGAATTATATTAAAATTTTCTATGTTGGACTATCTTAAGACTCATTACATACTGTATTATGAGATTGTCTTCTGAAAAATCTATTATCTTCAATGAGATTATCTCCTGAAAAATCTATTATCTTCAAAGAGAAAGTGCATGATGTATACCTTAGCATTGCCAATCGTCTCCCTCAAATCCATATCCTGAAATTCACATAAGTTTGAGGAAAATTTAGCAATACAAGTTATGATCTTAGGTAAGTTTGCTTGTTGATAATAAGTTGCAGCACAAATTAGGTGCATTGAGTACTCCCTTTAAGGTTAACTCCTTTGAAATGGAGATATCACTTATTTTAACCGCAGTGAGATCCATCTGCTATTTTTACAATGTGATTCTCATTATATGGATTATATTCCCAGAGGAAATGTACATACTTGTCTGAAGCTTTGTAACGACGACAAGGCCCCGGGTCCTGATGGATTCAATATGAAATTCCTCCAACACTATTGGTATGTGATTAAAGATGATGTGATGGGAATATTCCATGAGATGCATGAAACTAGGAAGTTTGTGCGTGCTTTAAATTCCCCTTTTCCTAGTAACGATTGCAAAGAAGTTGGTGCTAAAAATATTTGTGACTTCCGACATGTTAGTTTGGTGGGATGCATCTACAAACACATAGCGAAAATGTTGGCGGGAAGACTTACAAAATTTTTGGGGAAAGTGATTGGGGATTGTCAACACGTCTTTGTGGAAAGAAGACAAATCCAAGATGCTATTCTAGTGGCAAATGAGGTTGTTGATGAGTTAGTTATGGGTAGAAAAGATGGCTTGGTATGTAAACTTGACATGGAGAAGGCATATAACCACGTGTGTTGGGACTTTGTGGATTATATGTCGAATAGGATGGGTTTTGGGCAAAAATGGAGGTTGTGGATGAACTCTTGTATGACTACTACTTCATTTGTTGTTCTGATCAATAGTGGCCTTCAAAGTTTTTCATGGGATCTAGGGGTTTGAGATAAAGGGACCCACTTTCTCCGCTATTATTTATTATTGTAATGGAAGTTTTGAACGGGTTGATGAACAGGGCAAAAGAACTTCTGCTTATTTGAGGAGTGTCTGTAGGCAGTGGTGAAAATTCTATGGAGGTCTCACACCTATTTTTTGGCTGACAATACTTTGTTGTTTTGTCAACCAGAAAAACAATTCTTGCTACATATAAGATGTATCCTCCTTGCTTCCAAGGAGTTTCAGGTCTTAATATTAACTGCAACAAATCTGAATTGGTCAAGATTGGGAACAAAGGTGATGAAAAAAGTATTGCAAGGGTATTGGGGTGCAAAACAGCAAAATTCTCCATCAAATATCTTGGGATACCCCTAGGAGCAAAATATAAAGATAAGAAGACATGGGAACCAGTGATCGATATGTTTGAAAGTAGACTTGCGAGATGAAAGAGGAATTTTTTATCAAAAGGTGGTAGACACACTTTAATAAAGATTACACTTACTAACCTTCCTATATACTACCTTACTACCTTAACTATACTGGTTAACATTGCAAGAAGATTGGAAACCATTCAATGTTGTTTCTTTTGGGGTGATGGGGAAGAGAAAAAACAGTATCATTTGGTTAAATGGTCTGAAATTAAGAAATCTCTCAAAACGGGCGGCTTGGGAGTTCGGTCCTTGGTCGAAATGAATGTGGCTCTACAATTTAAATGGTTGTGTAAGTTTATGAAGGAAGATGGAAAACTGTGGAGGAAGGTTATTGAGGCAAGATGGAGTGGTTTTGAGGTGAAGAGGGCCGGGGGATTGGAGTGAAGGGGTCATGGCTTACGTATGTGGAAGAATATCATGAAGGGATGCCAAGATTCATGGAATGCATTAAATGGAAGCTGGGTAGAGGTAACATAATTCAGTTTTGGTATGATATGTGGCTGGAGGGCGGTTGTCTCGAGAACAGATTTTCGAGAATCTTTGCCAATCAAAAAATATGCTGGTAGAGGAGGTGTATGTGGAGACAAATGGCAGCTGCACCTGGTCTGTAAATGTCATCAGAAACCTAAACGATTGGGAAATCATAGATTATGAAGAGCTTCTACATATGCTATCACAATTTCAGATTAACAATGAGCTGGATCAATTACTTTGGAAGCTTAATAAGAATGGAGATTCTCTGTGAGTTCTTTTTACAAGCATATTGTTGGCGAAGATCCGGCCAGCACTTCCATTTTCCCATCCACTCAGATCTGGAAATCAAAAGTGTCGTCCCGAATTGCTTTCTTTGCGTGGGAGGCTTGCAGAGAGAGTATTCTGACTTTAGGTAAGTTGAAGGCTTAGAGTCAGATTTTGGTTAATGGCTGTTTTATCTGTAAAAGGGCGGAGGAATCATGCAATCATCTAATCCTTAGGTGCCCTGCTGTTTATGATCTATGGTTCATGGTATATGGTCTTTTAGGCCTTAAATGGATGGCAATGGATTCTATTAAAGACATGATTTGGGCATAGAGTGGTGTAGGGTTGAAAAAAGATTTGTAAAACTAATTCCCTTGACCATTTTTTAGGTCATCTATAAAGAAATAAATATGAGAGCGTTTGAGGGTTTAGAGATTAGAAAATATAGATTGAGAGATAAATGGTTTAATTATTTTGAATTTTTTGTGTTGGGGTATGACACCATTATGGATGATGATTTTGAGGATATTATTGATACCTTAACAATCTTGTAAATTTTTTGTATATGGGTGATACCCCTGTTGGTACCCTGTTAATACATATTTATACTTTTTCTTTCAAAAAAAATTATATGAATTATATTTTTGGAACAATATTTTATTTTCCATCATGTGGTTGGATGCCTCTGAGTCAATGACCCAAGTTTCTTGACTTCCTAAAATGGCATTAAGAGCACTAAAAGAATTATTTTTTTGAGCTATTTTCCCAAATCCTGCGTTGTTATCTATAGATATTTGATGTAGGAACATTTTTATGAAGGGTTTCTATCTACTCTTTGTTGAATGGGTATGATACCTCAGTGGAGACAACTTCATCAATAGAGACATGATTTCCTTCACTTTCTTTGTCTGCAGTTGATTTTGTGGTTTAAATCAACTGTTTTTTCATGAATTTTCTAGCAATTGTTTTGAGCATGACCTGGGTTTCTGCATAATCACACTTGGTCTTTCCTTTTTTAGCTAGTTGTTTGAATTGGGATGAGGACACCTAACAACTAAGACAAAGTTTTGCTTAATAGTAGAACTTGTGAATCCATATCTCAGCATTATCTTTTTTCTGTTTTCTTTTTTCCTTATTTCGGTAAATACCTCACGGATGCTAGGTAATGGTTTTATTCTGAGAATTGTTCCCAAACTTCATCTAGATTTTTATTCAACCCATGACAAATTTGAAAATTCTTTTTTTTTTTTTTTCAAAATTCTCTGTATTGTTTTGCATTATCTAGACAGCTTCACACAAGTTCCTAAACTTAATCGAGCCGTTGTCAGTGATGGGTGAACATTCCGTAGTACTGGGTTATGGATAGATCTTCTTATTGCAAATCGTGGAGGCTAGATTCAACAACAGAAATTTTTGAAGTGTTTTCTTTACTCAAATAGAATTCCTTGGCTGCTTCACAAATTTCGTGTGTCGTCCCATACAACAAGACATTCTCACTGATGTCATTTGTTATGAAGTTAATCAGCCACGACATGACCAGATTATTCTCGACCTTCCAAAGTTCAGAACTTTGATTCTTCGGCACTTGGTCGAGTGACTTCTCCGATGAAGTATCCTTCTCTCCCTCTTCCGCAAATAAACATTTTGGCCGATTGAGACTATTGAATGTAGTTGTTTCCATTTGACTTGTGGCTGGTGATAGGAAAGTGGCTTTCGATTCGGATTGTTTGGTGGAAATAATTCCATCAAATCGAGATGTAACTTCAAAGAAATCATTGATTCTTGTTGTGGCCATTTTGTATTTGATCATCAGCAAAAAAAGAAGTAGATTGCACATGGTCTATTTGCAGCTGGTGTCGCGTGGGCTTCACACACCGGCTTTCCGTCACCAAATGGCGGCAGCTGTTTGGCATGCAGCTCAATTAGAGGCACTGGTCTCAAATTAGAGACCGATGTAGGACACGTCTGTATAGAATTCTGGATTTGTGAGAGGCCGCTGCTGTGGGAGCTTGTGTTGAGGAGTAAGGTTGTTTCTGATTGCTGGGGCCCTTCCGGGGTCGGCCGTTCGGGACCTTCTGGAGCTGGTGGTGGTAGCAGCGTCAATCTGGCAGCCAGTTAGTGAACAATGCTTTTTCTTCAGAAGGGTTTTGGACTGGTTGGGTATAAAGTTTTGAGAAACTGGGTGTAGGATTTATTTAGCTCTAAGACCATGAAAATTTGTAATTAAATTTTTTTATTCTCTGAATTCTTTTTCATGATATTTAACTTACAATAGCTGAATATATATAAAAGAAAATTAAAGAAAGTTTTAATCGAAAACTAAATACAAATCAGTGCCATAACAAGAAAAGAACTTTCAGTTGTGGAAGTCAATTATGATTATACTTTATAGAGAGATTTATCTGAAGATACGGGACTTGGACTTTTACAAGAAGTCAAATTCCTACATAAGATGGTCAACATCATGACATTAGCCTTACTATAATCTTCATCATGTGAACTTTGGTGGTTTTTTGGAAAAGACGAACAAATGTTGCCATAATTAGTGCTAGTCCTAAAAATCCAGTTTAGTGTGGTTATGAAAAGTATAGCAGTCAAAAGGTTCTATTGGCTCTTATTCATTACTACGTCTATGCGTGTTTCTTTTTGTGATTAGACAACGATGCTGCTCATAAATTTCTTGGCTACTGATGCAGCATAAAATTTCAGGGTCCATCAACATCTGCTGTTATTTTGAAGTTTGAACTAATGTACTCCCCTATGTTGGCACACGGGTTAGTAACAATTTATTTGCTTATTTCAATCAATTTATGAACTCTACTACTGATGGACTGAACTACTTTCTTGAAACTCATATGGTGACTGGGAAAACTGTATGCAGCTCTGAATTCCTAGATTCTCAGGATATGTGCTCTGCTGCAGTTCACGAATATCGAATTCCTTCTAAAGCTCTTCTGGGACTGCATTCATATTGCCCCATTTGTTTTGATTCTTTTCATGCTGTTCTTGTGGATGTAAGTGTACACATTAGTCTATTGACGTCAAGCACTTCATTGCCCCCAGTGACACTACCCAGGTTTGTAAGGGTCAAAATCCCATTCTTTTGCTTAGAGCATAATTTCCTGTTCTTCTGGACTAATTGCATTACCCTTGATTGCCAAATAATTTTATAGGTTGCTTTTCTATTTTCTTAAATAACTAGATTTGTTTAACTATTCCAGTGATGAATGTGCTGATGAAGTTGTTTCTTCAGAGGATGTTGATGGCCCAAATCAAGTACGTTCGTCGTTGTGAACCATATTGTTAGTGAACCTTTCCCTGCATTGGGTTTTTTTACATAATCGTTTAAATTTTCTACATTGCTTGTCTTGATTACATGCAGTAATTATTTGACAAATGTAATTCTGAAGTAAAAAAAAGTATGTAGTAAAAATTATCAAGTAAAAAGGCAAAGGAAGGAATCAGCTTCCTGATTTTTATGACTTGGTATGTTCTGAGGTTGCATGATCATTATCTTGATTATGAAGTCACTTACATTAGCTTGATCATGACATGGTATGTTCTAAGGATGACAAGCACATTGCTTCTTGTATGACACCTGCTACAGATGCATATCAATAATAAAGGGGTGTTGGCTCCTTCAGTACCAATCTATGTTGTGCTGAAACAAGCAGCTTGTTTTTACTCGTATGGATGTGAACCTGAATATTGCCTCCAAAGCAGGAGACAGACTAGGGAAAACAATGAATTAACATTATGTAGTTCTAGTGCTACATGTTAGATCTAAATATTGTTGTCCAGAAAAATGGAATGATTGGTCAGTCACCTTATTCTCTTGTACAGAAAATTAAAATATTTTGATACTGAACTCAATCCAAGAGAGGGAGATAAGAACAGTGGGCTTGGCACTCACATGACAAACATACATGGTAGTTGTTGGTATTTGTATGTCCTCCTTGGAGATGCTATATGTTACATTAGGTTTTTTTCATCAAGGTCTTTCAGATTTCAATATTCAGCTAATTTGATCTATGATTGCTCATACATTGTCCTTTACAATATTTGCAGTCAGATTCCACGACCAACATGTCATTTGGTCAAGTGGCTCCTGTAGATAGCAAACAGGTTGCTATCATTAAAGCATTAATAGCTGCCCATGACCTACTTCTTGGAGATTTGCAAGAAATAAGCAAATCAATCAACACAGCAATTGATTTAAGCGATTTGACTTCCAAGCTGGATGGCATAAAGCTCAGTCTTGTGGATGGAGTTTCAGTACAACATTCAAGCAAGCCACAAAATGGCATTCAGGTCTTTTACTTAACTTGAGCAAATGGGACTTTTTTTGATATCCTTCTATACTTCGATTTGAAAGATTTCTTTTGTGTGGAACTATGAATTGGTACTGCTTATTGTTCTTGTTACTTTCCCTGTGAAGTTAAGCTTTCATATAACCTCTAATTTTTTTCTGTTAGAAAAGTTTGTAAAACTTGTTAGCTAACAATTTAAACTTTTTCATGCCACTGGACAGAAAACAGATGCTATGACTGGTTTTCAAAATGATAAATCGACTCATTCCATGTCTGGGAATGATATAGTAAACTCTTTTAACATCCTTGGCGATCAGCTCTCATATCTATGGAAGATGTTTTTTACTTTCCACAGGTATGGATTCACTATAAATTGACTAAATTTGATTCAATGATTGCCTATCTTTTAAGATGTTGCTCGTTAGACAAGCATATTGTTCATACACAATTCTGCTATCTTCAGTGTTCAACATTTTCCCTGAGAAAAAAAGAAAAGAACATGTATATAAACGTACGCATATATCTATATATAGTGTAGGGCAAAGTATACTTTAATATCCTACGGTCTGAGGTTTTCAAAATTCAGTGCATGTGGTTCTTTTGGCAATTTCAGTTCTTGTAGTTTATCCGTTAGTCAGTAAATAGAAAACCATTAATTTGGATACATGAATCGTCTGGATTTTAAATAAATTGACAAGTGGACGTTTAACCTTAGTTAATAGAAGACGGGTAATTTTTCACATAGATAGTCTAGATTTCAAAATGTTGACGGTGGCAGCTCTATTTAGACTTTCATAATTGAAAAAGCTGAATAAACAAAAACTTTTTTGGAAAAAAGAAATAAAATTAAATACTTAAAGTACAAAAAATTGAAAGAAAAAACGGTTCAGGAGTGGAAAATATTTAGGAATGTTTGAGTACAGCAAAACTGATAAAACTTTGAAAAAAAATATTAGATGATCTTGATATGAGTCTTCCACATGTCAGATTTTTTAAAATTCAAACCATCAGCATGTTTGAACTACGAGTATTATATTACATGACTAATAGTCAATCCACATATATTGAATTTTTTAGAGATAAACTACATATTAGATCTGAAAAACTATCACAACCAATGGTATCAAACTGTAATTCCCTATAATATGTATTAAGTATGTGTAAGCTAACATGGCTTTCTGATATAATAGTCAGTAGCTGTAGTAATTTTCTTTACTAAAATGTCTGTGTCTCTATTCATATTAAATAGTAATGGCAGATAAGCTAGACTTGAATTTCTAGAAGATTATTGATGCAGTAATATGGAAGATCTGTTAGGTCAATTTGCTGATCTGCTCTATTGGATATGTGCTCATGTAGCTTCTGGCTTTGTATTTATTTAGAATAATCAACATATCCAGAATCTGTGAATAGTCAGTTAGGAGTGACGCAAAGCCTATCTGGCAAGAGGCATTATTTTCTGGGTTATTCTGTTTATGGCTATCTAAGAACCGCCGGATTTTTAGTGACTACCACACATCATTCTACAAGCTGCGGGGAAGGGCTACTTTCTTGGCAACCCTATGTGCTTTAAGCACATGGAAACTATCACAATACTGATATCTAATCACTCCATCAAAACTGGGAAGCTAATATAAGTAGCTCCTACGGTGGAATCATTTTGTAACTATTTTTCATTTGTTTCCATGATTCTTTGAGGAGGGTCTCTTATCCTCCAGTTAGGCATTGTATTTCTCTTTCGCTAGTAAATCTTCTTCTTTTATCCCCCAAAAAGAAAATCGACATATCTCAGATAACTAAACATATGATCAATTTTAATAATTTTGCATTCTAGTTATGTACTGGAGAGTAGTTGGGTTTCATTAGCTTTGCAATTAATTTCTTTCACGGAAATATCCAGTGTAAGGACATTTAGCTAAAAGACTATTATTGTAGTGGAATGAATCAATTGATGCACTATGGGAATCTATCTCACTTCTTGAGTGGAATGAATTGTTATTTTAATGGTTGTGCATGTAGTTTGAAGGCTTTTTCTCAAAGGATAGCTTTGTTTGTTTTGAACTCCAAAGCGTGTCTTCTGCACTCGTTCTTTTTCAGTAACAAAATTTTTCTTAACTGTGTATTTCTTGTGCAAGTCCTGATATTTCAGATCCTCTGATTGAAAATTAACCTTGTCATGCATAAAGGCAAGTCCGGGAAGGAATTAACATACTCTAGCAGACAAACCCACACTGAAGCAATAAACACGATTTCACCTCTGGCCAACTTGATAAAGGTCATGTATAATATTTGACAGGAAAGGTGAACATAAAGTAGTGTTCGAATCTTGTAGTAGAATAACAGTAGAAACAATAGACATTTCATTGTTTTTCCATTTAAACATCGAATTGTCAATTTAGAATCTCCTTCAAATCGAAAGAGAACAGGTTGTGCCTGTGGGTTTTTCCTGCTAAATCATCACCTTGGCTATTACAACTCTGTTGATCTTCTACTTGGCTTCAGGGCTAACAAAAGGAAGATATTGGCATTTCTGCGTGATACATGGGCTATTGACCGGAGAGCTGAATGGTCAATATGGATGGTATACTCTAAGGTTGAGATGCCGCATCATTTTATGAGTGGGAGGATTGATGAATCTTCCTACCTCAATAGTCACGGGACTGCTTTGACTTTGTGGAAGTTAAGCTTAGATGTAAGTTTTAAAATATTTCACAGAATATTATAGTGTATAATATCAATGTTGTCACTACACAGTTGGCTGGAATCAAGAATATATCCACATTTTACCACAACTATATCCAAGTTATTAGCTTCCAGGAATATTTCACAGAATAATGTTCAACTATAGAATATTTTATTGGCGTTGTGCAGCCTGCCCAAGGTGCTGCTATGCGTGCTGAATTACATAGGCGGAGTATATCACAAATGAGGGTGGGTTATCCAACTTATGCAGTGCTTTCTTTTTCTTTCTATGCCTTCAGCACTGGAATTAATGAATTTGTATGACTAACATTGCAGATCAATAATCGATCACTGCAAGACATGCACATCTTTGGCGATCCTTCATGTATTCCTATTGTAATTGTAGAACGAGCAATGAATCCACCCTTACCTGCTACTGGTGGAAATGCATACTTCAGCAATTTGGGGAGGAAAGACACTAATAGCATACTTAGTAAACCTATTTCTGAGGCTATAAATAAGTCAACTGGGGGTAGCTCACAACAAAAAGATCGTATTCTAAAAGTAGTTGTTTTTGTCCATGGATTCCAGGCATGTTCTTCTCCACTGAGTAAAACTCTCACTTCTCTTGGATGATTTTCTAAAAGCAAATAGTTAAGAAAGGAGGAGGCAGCTAACAGAACCAACAGAAAAAATGGAAAATTAGAGTAGAAACCATCAAAACTATCTGAAATATACAAATGGTAGTAAGCATGATTTCTATCTGTCAGGATGTCCTTCAATTGAATCTTGTATGCTCATTTCTTTCTACACAGCTAAACATTGCTGCAATATTTGCTGCATTTTGATGGTCTATCAAACTTTTCATTCCTTGTTTAGTCTGGTCTGTACCTGGAGGATTCCATCCAATGAATGATGGCTAGGCCAAGAAGAAGTGCTTTTATGTTTCAGCTTTCTGTGGTGATTTTATTTTATGTTCCTTGTTTGTTTGAAGTACCTCACAGCCATAACTGAGCAGTCATTTCCATCACCCTCTCTCTTTCTCGTAGTTTTGACTTGTTGCCTCCAACATGGACTTACATTTGATGATTTACTGCTACTAAAATGTCAATAGGGACATCACTTGGATTTACGGCTTTTTAGAAATCAATGGCTTTTGATAGATCCCGAGATAGACTCTCTCATGTCACAAGCAAATGAGAATAAAACATCTGGAGACTTCAGAGAAATGGGATTAAGGCTGGCTGAGGAAGTGATATCTTTCTTAAAAAGGAGAATGGATAAAGTCTCAAGAACTGCAAATTTGAGGGATATTAAGCTCTGTTTTGTTGGGCATTCCATTGGAAATATCATCATAAGAACTGCATTAGCAGGTATTAAACATCTCTTGTGAACCTATATCTTTTTATGTGTTTGTAGTTGAGTACAAGATCTTCCTTTTTTGTTTCTGCAGAGAGCATCATGGAACCTTACTTAAGATACCTATATACATATATCTCTATTTCTGGTCCACATTTGGGGTATCTGTACAGTTCTAACTCTTTATTTAGCTCTGGACTTTGGCTGCTGAAGAAGTTCAAGGGCGCACAGTGTATTCATCAGCTTACTTTCTCAGATGTCCCTGACCTTCAGGGCACTTTCTTGTACAAACTTTGTAAGGTACTGCAAGTACAATATTGTTTCACATCCTCTTGACTCTTGAGAGAGGAAATTCTATCAGGAAATTACCAGATAAAATATCTTTTTTAGAAACTTGATATGGTTCCATATCCATGTAGTACCCAGGAAGATTGTCAGACTAACATTAGTTCCTTCACTTCTTATCCAAGTGCTCAAAGATTTCTTTTCTTATTTCAGCAGAAGACATTTGAAAACTTCAAGAATATAATCTTATTGTCCTCGCCTCAGGTACATCTCTTTGGTTGGAAACTTATCTCTTGGCATAACCATAGCTTTTGAAACTGTTATCTCCCAAAGAGTATTTTACTTACATATGCAATGTCATTTTTATTCTTGAAATCATTGGAAGCCAAAATGGTGCTGTAGTCCTTATTAATTTTTGGGAGGTGGTAGTTCTTATTAATCTATGGGATTAGTTTCTTTTAATCCTTTTTTAGAGGATACATTGGGGTTTACTCTTTAGATTTCTTAATAAAACAACTGTATATATTTGTCAGAAAATCCTTTAACATCTCTAAGTCATTTGATTCTTTAAGGTGGCTAATTAGGCATATGTGGGACAGATTTTAAAATGTGATTTGCAATTTTGTTTGTTGGGCTGTATCAAAACTAATGCAACCATTACCCAAGTTTATGGGTTTTTCCTTATTCATTCTAGTTTCTAGATTCCAATATCTTCTATTTTACCTCCGAGAAAAACTAGCTTTCTACATTGAATAAGAATAACTCACTTGTTAGCTATAACAAAGATTAGTGAAATTTTTCCAGAATAACTCATCAAATCTATTTATTTATTTTGTATAGTAACGGATTTTCTCTCTTTTCCTTAGTATGCTAATAGTATATATATATATATTTTTTTTTTTGCTTTTTTTTTCATAATCAGGATGGTTATGTTCCATACCATTCTGCCAGAATCGAATTGTGCCAAGCTTCTTTTTCTGACCATTCAATAAGGGGCAAGGTCTTCTTGGAGATGCTGAATGATTGCTTGCACCAGATACACGCTCCCTCTTCCGAGCACCGTGTTTTCATGCGTTGTGATGTCAACTTCAATATGTCATCTCAGGGCAGGAACTTGAATACTATCATAGGACGGGCTGCTCATATTGAATTTCTGGAGTCTGATATTTTTGCCAAGTTCATTATGTGGTCTTTCCCAGAGCTATTTAGATAGTGTACTTCAAATTCTCCGATAAATGCTTTCTTTTTCATTCTACTTCGTCTAGAAACCGGGCTGGCCAGGACATCACCTCGTATACCAAGGACAAACTGAGGATATCCGATATTGGAAGCATTTTACAGGTGAAGTTGCTTAGTAATTTGTCTGCCATGTGCAAAGTCCTTTCAGTTTCAGGTGAGTGAAATGGGATCCTTAATCTGGGTTGAGTCTCCCTTGAGCGCCATTGGCTTCCAGGTTTCCATCTTTTGACTTCACACATCTGATAAAGATGGAATTATAAAGAGTAGTTTTTTAATAGATGGCCATGGCACTAACGTTGTAAATCAGGTGCTGAACTGAAGCTGATCTAGAAATTGGGAATTGTTATCCTCTCTCCCGAAGCTCCAGATTTGAGTAATACTACAGGCCATGGTATTTTAGTTCCTTCATTTTTATGTTGTACATAAGAAGAGATTATATATATATATATATATATATATACATTGTATTTTTGTCTTAGTAAGGTTAATTTTGACTTAAAGGATATAATGTAACCAGAAAACATTGTAGTTTTGTCTTAGTTAGCTGGTTATGTAAACAAAATTAGGATCACGGTGCAGGCTGTGCTAATCAATACCTACTGTTTTTTGTGAGGCATCTGTATCTATATGAAAAAAGAATGATAATGGCAAGTGGGGTTATGATAATTAAAAATAATGTTTTAACTTATGGATTAATGTGTCTAAAGGTTGTCTTGTCAATCAATACAGTTTTAAATGTATTAATTATTTAATAAAATAATTAATGTGGAATTTACATTTATTACCTGTTTCTTAATCTCTCAAAAATATATTTTTAGTTTTCTTCCATTTAATATAAATTAATAAATTTGTCAAAAAAATAAGGTCAAACTTTAGATTATGTCTATTCTTAAAATAAAATTGAAAAAAAAAAAAAGAATTAATTCATGTACTTAATTATTAAATCTATATTAATATATAAAACTACTGCATAATGTTTCTTTAGAGTAAAAACATAATGTTTAATTGGGGATAATCTAATTCCTATTTGTAAAAATTCCACTTACTACTACTCAAACTAAAAACCGAAAATCTCTTACTAAAAGATATCAAATGAGATCAAAGAAAGTAGAAGAAGAGGTACAGGTCAATGTAAGCAGGCAAACATCCAGGAAACTGACATACAATGAAGGCAGAAATATAAGATTCCAGTTTACAATTATGAAACCCTATTATCAGGGCCACCCCCCAGAGTTGCAACACTGTTAAGAATTAACATTTGACAACAATTTCCTACGCTAGTGATGACACTAACAGAAAAAACAAGAGCATAAATTGTCAGCAGTTTCTGCTTTTTGCTCAAACTTAGGTCACCTTTCATCATTCTATTTATTCACAAGCCAATTTGGTGTCAAAGCTGCTCAAGCATATTGCAAAAGCCTGAAAAGCAGATAAAGGATATCGGTAATCCATCGTGAACATATCCTTCCCAACCTTGCCGAACTGAAGAATGATTTTATCATGCTCTGGTGGAGCTGGGTGAGATGGTGTGGGTGCACCAGCAGCAGGCTGCATGGCAGCAATCAACTGAAAGTTTTTAACAGATGCAACAGTCACTCGTCCTCGGAAATTCAGGCACCAACACTGCAATTGCTCATGCCATCTTGGGGGCTTGTTTTTGAGAACCAAGGGTCTCGCTTTTCCATCATCATCCTCGTGACATGACCTACCAATTTCAGAAAAACGAGAGCTGCTGAACTCAACTGAATGATCAAGAGACTTTGAAAAGGAGACACTACGGAAGGAGTCTTCAAGAGCACTGGGAAGAATTTCCGGTTGGCCAGGGACACTTCCACCTGCCTCAAGTGCTGAGGCTGGAATTGAGTGCATCATGCAGTGCATTCTCCGCGGACCTCGGGTACCAAGCACATTTAGCTCATAAGTAATCTGGGCTATGTTGTAGCTGCCTGTAGGTACTTTCGGCGAGACCTTTTTTGAATAAAATCTTCTACTTGTTCGTCCTGGAGGAAGAATACTGGCAGAGGTGTAAGCAGGGTGTGTGTCATATATTATAAACTTCGTCCCAAGGAAGTTTGATCTGGCAAGTTAAACAGAATTGATTCAAAACTATAATCTTTTGAACAAGAAGCAATTCATGCACAAGTTTATTTGGATAACTTCGAAAGCAACCCAAACATTATGATGCACCAAATAACCTTTCCACATATGCAGCATGAAAACTTAAAAGAAAGAGACAAAAAAATAGAAAATCTCAAGTTGGTCAACTTTAAAATCATCTGCGCCTGGGGTTGGTAAGTTTGGATTATTTCAAAATAAATCATTATTGGTTTAGGTAGCCTCAAAGTTGACCTATTAGACCAGCTAGATATTTGGTTCTCTTTCACAGAAGAACTAGGTCAACTCAAGTTTCAAGGCCAAGTTCAGATTGAATTGATTGACACCCAAGTAATGCATTAAGTGAAGGCCATATATTGGCATCTTCCACGTCAGGATCCTTAGAACCTGAATCTGGTTAGAGAAGAAATTTAGGGTTTACGTTTAGGGTAGAGAAAAAAGAAGACAAAAATAGAAGAAGAGAAGACGAATAAGATTATAGAAAAGATAGAGAATTATTAGAAGAAGAATAGGAGTATAGAAAAGATAGAGAATGATTGCTGCTTCTGTTCTGAAATTTAGGTAAATGTTTCTTGTTTTCTCACTTTGCTGCCTTCCATTGCCTTTTCTTGTTTTCTCACTTTGCTGCCTTCCATTGCCTTTTCTACCATCACTTACTCATATAAGACAAAACACAACCAGAAGCTACAGAAAAAAAGTCCAAATCTACAGAAAAGACAAATCTGCCAGAGGCAGTACAAACCTAGAACCACATTTGTAACTAATCTAGGATTAACTAATTAACCAGTAAGTTATCTAATTAAGGCTGGAGACTGCTGGGTTGCTGGTCCTGACAGGCCACACAGACGAACGAGTCATATTTTCAGTGACTCAGAGTCAGGAAATATTTTCTTCTCAATTCAAAAATATGGAAGGAAATGTATATTTATTCCAGAAGTCTGTAAGATACCAGAAATATTACTCCAAGAAGCTCTTACAAACAAATTATTCAAGCAGCAGCAGCCAAAAGGGGAATCAAAAGAAACTATGAGAATGGATATAATTACTATTTCACTCGGGATTCTTACCTCAGCTTTCCGATATATTTGCTGCTTGATCGTGAAATGTTGTCAGCATCCATGGAAATTATATACTCAGTGCATGTAGTTCGACGGGTTCTCTTTGCAGAAAGAAGAAATTTCCCATTTTCAACTAGCAAAGCTGCAAGAGTTAAATACAAGATAAAACATAACAGTACACTAGGTTAAACAAAGACAAAACCAACCAGTAAACCATGTTCAAAATTGTACTGTTAAACCCTTTATTAGTAAAATTGGAGAAGCAGAAACTTTACTCAGCCATATAACCGCTTCCAGCCAACATGATAATTCATAATTCCAAGTATATAGAGATACAAAAGAAAAGCACCTAAAGATGGAATTTAATTAAAACAAAATATATCAAGGTACCTATCGCACTCAAGAGGATCTCTAAAACTAATGAGAAAATTTTGCCAGCTATCTATTTCATGCAAGAATTCAAGATCAACAACTATTCTAACAATTATACCAATCATTTTCATTCCTCACCAACAGAAATCACATATCCATTTTAGCAAGTGTAATGAAAAAAATGCCATTTATTACACCCCTTTGAATTATGAGGTAGAATTCGCAAATTTGTCATTTTATGAAAATTTATATAAAGATTGAGTCTACCGCCATATATTTGGGACACTTTTATTCCTTTCAGGAATTTTTTGATGTCTTCGACCAAGGCAATTAAGTAACTTTTCTCCTTTTCTTTTTCTTTTAGTGTTTTCTAGTATGAAATTGTTTTGTGAGTATCCCATATATTTTTCCAACCTTTTATCTATTTTAGATGAAGCAATTCAGCCACCATGTTGACCAATGCCAAGTAAATATCGCAACTTTTTAGTGGCTCATACTACGCAGATGCCAATCTAGAACTATTTAAGATGTTAAATGCATGACTAGCACTAGATACACCACTAAAAGAATTATCACTAGTACTTAGAAAAGGAAAGTATTAGGATCCAATTAGTTTCTTAACAAAAACAAAAGCAAGTAGAATATTAACATATGCATTCACAGCCTTACATAGAAGCACATAATGGCACACAAAGACACACAAAGCCAGCAATATTTAACAAATAAAAAA